TTATCTGAACGCAACCAAGGGGTTGCATACTTCGAAGGGTGAATTCGTAGACCGCTTACGTCACTTCCGCCGAAAGAAGGCTGTCCCAATTTAAAAAAAAGACTAGACTCCTCTGAATGCGGCCCACGAATGCAGCCTACTTTTCCCCAATTTGAAGGATACATCTGATGTACACTCCGCGGCCTACCATATCCCAGGGTGCAATGCGTGCAGGGAAGAGGGAGTTTTTTTCAAATGAAATGGCTTCCGGTCTCCCCAGCGGAGTGGATTTAAAAGCAGCAGCGAGCGGAGGAATCACTAATAAATGTGAGTATTGGGTTTTAACTTACTTTAAATTAACTAACGTCACACATGTCAAACCCAAGGGGCATTAAAACGTACATTTTCGTTAAATAATACGGATCAATATGTGGCGTTAGTGACGCTAACTAGCTAGCTGGACGTACTGCACTGTTGTTTACACTTGTTTTTTATTCAATTCAGAAGTTTACTAAAGTCATACAGAGATCTTGGCTCTGTTATAGATAAGTTATACTTTATATTACATACATAGACCAAAGTGAAAACATTTAGAACGGTATAGCCTACACCTACAGTACGGTGTGATTTATAAAATGCCACCCTGACGTCTGCTGTTAGCTTTATTTATTTTTCTGACATGTTCCAATGTTTTACTGTTTATTAAACTTTGGGACAACATTACAACCTCTTTATTCAGCTCATGCTGCTTTGAGGTAGAGCAAAAAAAAAGAAGCCTATTTTCAATATTTCCACCAGATTTGATCATCTTTTATTTAGGTTAAAGTGTATTTAATTTATCCTAATCCCATAATAATAAGACAATCACAAATAGACAGCAGCCTTTAGCTTGATGTTAGTTTGTGCTGTCAAAGGGATGCAGGTGTGACTGTCATTTCTTCTCTTTAGTTAAAAAAAACCCAGAACAGTACATCATTTTAAATGATCCTTTAGGGATTGTTTGTCTGAAATGCTGAGTTACATTTTGCAATAATACTTCTGCAACCCTGTGTCTAATATGATTAATTCACTTTTTTATTTTTCTCTTGTTTTTCTCTGTAATTAGGAAAATTCTGGAGAAATGGATCTGCTGGAGAAGGACTCCTAACCCCAGCGGCTCATCAGGACAGAGCTGCCATCCACCTGGACCCCCCGAGGTGCTGGAGAAAGCAAAACGGCGAACAGGAGCATCCTCCACCCAGACCTCTGCTTACTGCCGTCCTACAGACTTGTGTCTTACTTTCAGAATTTGATTTTGTATGTGTCCTTTCTTTTAATAGATATTTAACGATTATAGCTTGAGTCTGTCTGATTCCCCAAACAGCTGCTTCTATATACTTGCTGCACATATAATACAAATAAACAACTCCATAAACATACTTTTGCTGATATTTGTGTTACTGCTGGTGATGTTACATGATTGATTTCCTCTGTCTCAATGATGAAAGTTATGATAATAGAAGACATGAAGCTGCAGAGAGAGGATGGATATATTCTTACCTCTACTTTGTGATAAGATGAAAATACAATATTAAATTGTAATTGTTAAACACATTGTTTATTTCATTTACTGAGGTTTTAACCATTATTTACAACATGTGTACATAAGCAGTGGAATAATAGGGTCATTCAACTGTCTTCAGTTTAATTTAATTAATACAAAAAAAAGGTCATAGAAAATGTTTAATTGTGTATTTCAGCAGAGCGGGGGGGGGGGGGGCACGGTGCTGCTGGACCTGGAGGTGCTGACCTGGGGTCAGTGGGACATCATCTGGGCAGGTTTAGGGGAAGAAGGAGAATATAAACTGTTATAATCACAGCTATTAAGATTAGAACACTAATATTGTTAACAATCAATCTATACAACGTGCTTTTGTTCATTTAAAAAAACATTGTTTTATTAGTACAGAAAAATTAAGACTTATTTTAAATATGAAATAATATGATTAAATTACATAAGCTAGGCCTATATATAATTTACTTGTTAACTTACTAATGTAACATTACTGGGGGCTAAAGGAACAGCTTCATCTTATTTACCTGGCCATGGTCCTCTTTAATTCATCGCCGACGGTGATCTCCAAAAAAATGTAAAAGTAAAGTTTCTGGATCCTTTTCAGCTGAGTTGAATTTGCTAGCAGGCTGCTGGAGCAGCGCAACCGAACAGCGCGTATCACGTGACGTAAATACGAAGCCCTCCGTAGGCTAGACCGTCTCATTTCGTAGGCCGCTCGGTCCAGCCTACCCGGTCTACGTGGGCTGGGTCCTCCGTGGACCTCGTAGGCTGCGTACCCCGAAGGATACAACCCCTGAATTGAGACACGGCCAGTCCTCGGTTATAGCTCCTCCAGAGAGCCTCCTCGACGCTCGATCCTCGGTCCTCGACGTGCATTTAGACTCACTGCAGTGCTTCTCAAAGTGTGGTCCGCGGACCACTGGTGGCCCATGAGGGCGCCCTAGTGGTCCGTGAGTATATTGTTAACATTTGACATTTGAAATTAATTAATTAATTAGAGCTTTCCGCACTCTCGCGGGAATATCTCCGCAATGGAGCGAGTTTAAGTTTCACTTTCGATTGCATGATATAGCCCCGCGCAACACCTTCATCACATATGTTGCCACTTGTTTGTACCATTTTCAGGCGATTTGTAATCTGTTCTAGAAAAACGATGTGATTTTGGATATTTGTGGAGTTAGGTGGTCCGCGAGTGTTTTTTTATTGGTTAAGTGGTCCTAGGTATGAAAAAGTTTGAGAAACACTGATTTAGAGAAATTAGATGTGATTCAACATGGCGTGCTAAAATTCATTTCCGGGTCACTACCGGAGGACCGAGGAGTCGAGGAGTCGAGGAGGGGGATTTGATTAAATGAGAAAGGGCCTATGTATATTTTCTGCTATTTTATTTACTATTTGAGATGTTTACATTTTCGATTGTTTAATTCTAGTCTTTTAACTGTCTTATGTACAATGCCGTGTCTTTTGCTGCTGCAAAGCAAACATTTCCCAAATTGGTATCAATAAAGTTCTTATTTTATCTTAATCCTCAAATATTAGCAAATTTAACTTTTTCAAATATTGATGTAACTACATACACATCGATATGTTGTATAAATATTGCAAATCAAAACCTTTATTCACTACTTATTACCAACAATCGTAGTTCTATCTCCGGTAATCATGCATTCAAATGTCCCACCACGAACTTCCGGGGAACTATTGAGTCTCCCTGAACAACGTGACGATCAAGCATTTTGGTCCTCCGCTGTCGTAGCCAAACAGTAATCGAATGTGCCACTTCCGGCTGACAGTGGCTGACCTCCGTCTCGGTAGTGACACATGTGTAACAAACTGTGTCTCCACATATATCAGTGTTTGTTTGGTGTACATACAGTACAGTGACTCCATGCTTGTCTTTCCTTTGTGTTGTGCTCCATCAAGTGGACACTCTGTGCCATAACCCCAGGAAGTGGTGGAAGTGTTTTCCTGTAGTGTAGTAAAACAACAAAAACACAATGAACGCAGTGCTGAGGTCTATATGGTAGTATCCTGTTAAACTTGCATTAAATACCACAGTACTATTTATGCAACACCATTTCTTGACTATTTTTAAATCTGGCTCAAAAGGCCTTTTACAAATGTGAGGAGAATTTTCATGCATCACTTTGAGCAACAAATAAAACAGCAGTTATTGTTGTTTAGATTATAAAATTAGATAACATGTAATCCTGCTTACCTTAACATATACATATACTGAGTTTGTAAGCACTGAAAAAAATAAAAAAATAAAAGGCTATTTACCATGTTTTCTAAAATCTTGCCAAATGTATAGATTGGTTTTGATCCTTGACATACGGAAACCTTTTCTTTTTGTGTTTTTAAGACTTGTTTCCTGTCATCTGAAATAACACTGAACACATTACTCACACAAACAACAAAGACCAGTGACCTTGAAATTAGTAGATATGTTTTTATTTAAAATTGTACTTGTCAAGATTGTTATCTTGGATGAAAGACAACATATTTAATCCGATTCACATTGAGTTCTTGTTTAGTTCAGTGATTATAAAAATGTGCTGGGAGGGAAATCATTTGAAAAGGCATTTTTTCAAAGTATGAGAAAAGGAGGGTTTCGTGTATGCATGATGAGTTAAAACTGAGAACCTGGGAAGAGGTGTATTCTGGCTTTTTGCCAACCCCCGTTAGTCATGTGACCCTCATCACATTTCATCCAGTACACACAACAAACACACATAAGTGTGTGTTGACACAATGCAAACAAATGTAGGACATCATGTTGATTCAGCGTTTTATATCACAAAGGGGGAAACTAGTTTTATACAAATATGGCAAAACTACAGGAAGCAAATGGTAGGGCTTAAGTCAAACTGTTATATCTTTAAAAAATGTAATTAAATCAAACCTAATTTTTCCTTATATGAGTTGTTGGCATTAATACTTGTATAATGCTAAACTCTGTAGTTAGTTACTTCATTGTAAAGAGTAGTTTTTGTCTTTGTGACTCGTAAAAGTGAATTCAACCTCACTGATATCAGCCCCACTGCTTTCTGCTCTACAGCCGCACAATATTCAATCACTGATAGTGGAAACAAACATTTCATCCTACAAGCTCTTCACACAAAAAGCCATAAACTTATATATTATTTAATGTGAATTAGCCACAGGAAATGTGTCATGAAATACAGATGATGTGTAAACCAGACCTTCCTGTTCAGTGTTTAGTGCTCGAGTCCCTGCTTTCTCAGACCAAGCATCTCGTTTATTTGACTGTTTTCTTAACTCACAATCACATATTTATAGATGTCTTTGATTGATAAGCCATTTTACCGGTAATCAATATAACACCTGGCATGTAAATATACAAGTTAACAGTTATGAGGATTTATCATATTATTTAGCTTAATTTGACTTTTTCTAGCAGTATAACTATTACACATATTGTATTAAGTACACAGTAGAGGCATTAAAAGGCCTTTCTCTTTATTGAATTTTTAAAACAATTGATTATAAAACATTTAATGTTATCATCAATTCTAACTATAGTTACAATAAATCTGTAGCTTTATCCAACGTTCATATAGATATTCTCCATGTGTTACGATAAAGTGTTGAAGAGATAATTATTTGATTGTTGAGTAGATTAATGAATCCACTTATGTGTTGTATACAGAATCTAAACCATATGATAATCAGTCACCACAGTAAACTTATTTTGTAGAAAATGTGATGAAAATTACATTACATTACATTACATTACATGTCACTTGTTAGACGCTTTTATCCAAAGCGACTTACATACTCAATACTGGGGCAATCCCCACAGGAGCAATTTGGGGTGAAGTGTCTCAGGGACACAACGACATGCTGACTGCAGTGGGGTTTGAACCTGTGACCTCCTGATCCGAATACCAACTCACAACCCACTGCACCACAGGCCTCCCTGATACAGTTTTGACTCTAAATATCGAAGTTTGTTCCCTTGAATAAAAACAAATCAATACATGAAATAAGATGAGTGATTAGTTGACAGGCGTGATGATCAGAGGTGCAGAGTTTTTACGGCCATATTGAAGTCCAGGACTGAAGAATGGGTAGAGTTTCTCAGTGAAGGAGCAGCGAGTAAAGGAGTAGATAAGAGCTGCAGCATCTACGTCATAAAAGGAGACCAGACCCTCCTCATAATCCACAAACACCCCCACCTTCTGAGGCTCAGACCTCAGAGAGAGACAGACTGACGGATCATCATTGCCATTGTACTTATTTCCATTTCTCAAATGTATAGTCCAGAAACCATCTACAGGGCTCAGTGTCATCTCACCCTTCCTCTTGATTGACTCTCTGGCCACTCCTAAATCCCACTCAGTCTTTCCTTTAACTTGAACCTCAAAGTAAAATATGCCTGAAGAGAAACTCTGCTTTCCTAAAACACAATTACAGTAAGAAAATCTCTCTGGGTTGTTTGGTAGATTCTTTCTCACTTCACCATCACAGACATGTTTTCCATTGTGCGACAGGATGAGATCAGGATGTGCTGTATCATGATCAAGAGTCACATCCACTGCGTACTTCTGGACCCTCTTCAGCTCAGCCTCAAGCAGCTTCTTCATCTCTTGGCTGAGTGTTTCCTCCAGCTGAACCACAGCTCTCACCACAGCTCTCACCACAGTCCCTTCATATGATGATGGAGGGATGCTGACCTTTGTCCAGTCCTTGGTGGGTGATGGGTGTTGGATGTTTAGGGACTGGACACCCTGGAGAACGTGGAGGTGGTCTTCAGACCGTGAGAGATGCTCAACTTTTGCACTTCTCTTCTTCAGCTGAGAGATTTCCTGTTCCAGCTCTTTGATGAAGTCTTCAGCCCGTTTCATTCTCATGTTCTGCTTCCCTTCTATTGTTTGGATTAACTCATTCAGGTTTCTCTCAACAGACTCCTTCAGAGCAGTGAAGACTTGAACTCCTTCTGCTATCTCTCTGTCTGCGTCTTTCTTACTGAGGTCCACTGAGTGTTTGATCTCCTCAATCTTCAGTTGTCTCTTCTGGATCATTTCCTCACTTCTAGCCTCTTTCTTTCCCAGCGCTGCCTTCTGCCCTTCATATGCTTCTTTGAGAGGAACCACATCATGCATCTTGTGGTCTGAAACAGTGCAGAGCATGCAGACACATGTGTGGTCGGTCTTACAGAACAGCTCCAGAGGTTTATCGTGCTTCAGACACATCCTGTCTTCCAGGTTCTCCACAGGGTCGATCAGCTGATGTCTTTTCAGACCTGACATTGTCAGATGAGGCTCCAGGTGAGTCTCACAGTAGGAGGTCAGACACACCAGGCAGGACTTCAGGGCCTTCAGTTTGGTTTCAGTGCAGACGTCACAGGGAACTTCAGCTGGTTTGAAGACTTGTTGCTCTGAGCTGCTGCTGCTGGCTTTCTGTTGAGCCGACTGTCTGAACTGAGCGACCATCTCAGAGATGAAAGTGTTAACGTGCAGCTCAGGTCTTATGTTGAACTCTTTTTTACACATGGGACACAGGTACTTGTCACTTGTATCCCAGTGTTCAGTGATGCAGGTTTTGCAGAAGTTGTGTCCACATGGTATGGTGACTGGATCAGTGAACACATCCAGACAGATGGAGCACAGGAACTGATCTTCAGATGGCAGATAGCTTGCAGCAGCCATATCTACACACATGTGAAAGAAAAGAAAAAACATTTGAAACATCAATCATCAATTCATATTATATATAGTTTTAAAGAAAGAAGTTTGATAACTTGTAACAAGCCATGAGCAACCGTGACCATTTAACTCTGACAGAGTCAAGCATGCAACTCTGGCAAACAGCTATGAAAATATAGGTTTTGTCAAAAACATTTCTAATGAAAAATAACACTGCTCTTCTCACTGTGTGACCATTACAATTCATTTCCTCTAGCTGCTTCAAATTAAAAGACTCCAACTGTTTCTCTAATGGAAATATTTTATTTTGAAACAGCTAGAGGAAATGGGTAAAAGTAATATGTAGGAAGTGATCAGCAAACCATAATAATAGAATTGAATTAAAGTGGACTTTATATAATTGATATGGTTATATTGTTAGAGAAAAACAAGTTTGACGTAAAGGGTGCAGCTTTCATCTGAGTAGAGCTGTTTTGTGTAAATCCTGCTTGTTCACAGTGTAAATATAATCAGATGTACTCACCAGTGTTTGACAGAGAGTCTGCTGTGTTGTTGAGAAAGATCTGATGAACTCAGTTTGTATTTTCTGTAGTGCAGTGTGGCTGCCTCTCTGACTAACTTAACTTTCGTTTCCTGAGTGTGATGTGTAAGCTCTCCTCTTTCCAGTGTAGCTCCTCCTCTCAATGCAGCTGGGTTTGTTCCCTCCCTCTGATCTGCATGGGTGTTGAGAAATACCAGGTTTTCTCTGATAGTTAGGAAGCAAAGGTTCTCCTTTACAGATGGGAGGGATGAGGTGTGTCAAAAGCTGTTCATACTAAAATCTCTTGAAAAAAGAAATATGCAGGTAGCATGGTCATAGTTGAACTATTACATCATCATACATCATATTACACCATTGAAACAAATCATTTGTCCTTGGTCAACATGAGAGTTTATCCTGTACATGTTTGTCACAAACTGTGTCTCCTCATATATCAGTGTTTGGTTTGCAGTACTGTGACTCCATTATTATCTTTCCTTTGTGTTGTGCTCCATCCAGTGGACACTCTGCGCCACAACACCAGGAAGTGGTGGAAGTGTGTTACTGTAGTGTAGTCAGTGGCGTTTTTATATACAAAAGTGGTGGGGCACAAAAACCGTAGATGTCTATATATAAGCTTCTGCAGAGAGGTTCATGGCTGGTGAGGCACTGGCACTGACTCTTCAAGTTTACAAATATTATATTTTGACCTAAATCAAAATATTATATTATTTTCAAAAGCTTTTTTTGTCTGATGCTTCGATACATTTTAAACAGACAGTTCAACAAAAGGATACCCAAAAAATGTAATTTGATCATTTACATATTGAATTGTTCTCTCTTAGTAAGATCCCATTTTCAATAAAATTGCGGTCTTACCTTGACTTGAAGATGAAGTCCATTTGCCTATCCTTCTGGACAAACATCTCTATGACTTTTTTGTAAAAGTCCTCCTTATATTCTTGTAGTTTCAAAAGTCTATCATAAATCGAATCGATAGATTTATGATTAGAAAATTATAAAAGTAGGGTAGACGTGGATATTATCCGGCTGAACAAAACGTGCATTTATCTAACAGGTACGTTTCCCAGATCTTATTTTGAGCCATTTTCTAAAATCCTATGGAGAAATCTCATTGCTTTTTTGTGGAGGGAAGCCATGCACAGCTTACTTCCTGGTTTTAGGACGCGTCTCTCGTCTCCTCTTCACCTGCTCTTCATACACCACACTTTTCGCGGCACACATACTTACAGCCAATCAGCTCTGAATTATGTGAGATGATGTATGGCAGCTCACTGCCCCTCCTATAGAGTGGCAAAGTCCCTCCTCTTCCGGTGGACTTCCATGGGACCTTATTTCGGAAAAATTATGAATTGAAGTCAATGGAGAGAGAACAATTATCTTTCGATCCCGTTTGAATTGTGCCACGAATTACACATATGATGTTTGTCAATTTAAAAGATAATTTTGCAAGTCAAAAAAAAAAAAAAGTGTCGTAAAACTGTGAAGTAACACATTTGTTTGTGTGAAACGCTCAATGAACTACATCTCTGGTCTCGCAGAACAACACACGTCACCAAGATGGCCGTCACTACTGTCTTGTCAACAAAACGATTGACTACCCTCACTATCACCACAATGAAACACGTCCAGAAGAATGTCATGCAAAGCTGCCTGCCTGCCTGCCTTCCTTTGATTCTCTCTGAACTGCCTGGTCTTTTTAATGTTTAATGTCAACCATTTGTGCAGATAGCATCAAGTAGAACAGATCGCCGATCGCCGACCCTAGCGTTAGCATTTCTACCCCGGTGTGTATTATAGAATGATCACACCGATGACAGTACTCTTCAAAGGGTTCACGAAATATGACTACTACTCTTACTGTTTAACATTTTGGGTTACTTAATAATACTTCATATTAAGGCTAATAAAAATGACACAGCTATAATGCTAACTAACGTGCTAGCTACTAGCTAGGTAGCTAACTTGATCCAGTCACTCCTGGTCTTTTCATCAGACGGGAAGCAAAAGAACGAGCAAGACCCATTGCTGGTATGATAACCACCTGGTACTAAGCACACAGGCATCTTGTTAAAATTATCTTATTTTAGCCAGCGCCATATAGGTAGATTATATCCATATGGCGCTGATTTTAGCTATTTTAGTGGAGGAAAACAATTGTGACATCACTTACGCGACTCAGGGATTTGTAGTCTTTCTAGTTGCGTATTTTTCATAGTCTTATATTTCAACAGTTTTACGACAAACTGTGACTTTTTTGACATGGAAATTATTTTTTAAGATTGACAAACATCATATGTGTAATTCATGGCACAATTCAAATGGGATCGAAGGATAATGTTTCTCCATTGACTTCAATACATTATTTTTCCGAAATAAGGTCCCATGGACCGGAATTGGATGGGCGTGACTTCGCCACTCTATGGTCATTATTTTTTGCCACACACATTAAATAGGACAATACTCTGAGCATGCGCAGTATAGTTTTTACAGTAACCGTTCACTTAGACAGTGAGAGGGAGGGGCATGATCGGGTTTTGTCCCACATGGCTCTAAACAGCTCAATAGGCACACACTGTAGACACTCATTAGAAGAACACAGACTAAAACAGCAATGTACAGACGAATCAGATGATTAAACATGATCTTAAAATATATTTTATATATATATTATTTTTTTTAAATCATTATTTTTAAAACTTTCTGCTGACACTAGGTGGGGCTGTGCCTGCTGCCCCTAATGACCAGTCACCAATGCGGCTTTCACACCAGCGCTTTTCCCTTTCTAGCTCCGAGCTAGAGCTTTTCTGGTTCAGCTCCGGTTTCCCTTTTCTGCTCCCGCTCTGTTGTTCACACCGCCCAGAGCCCGACTGGTGCTGCCGCTGCTTCGTCATGACGTCACCATTTACATCGCTGATTTGCTCCCCAACGGCATTACGGCGCTCACTACAACAACAACAACAACAACGGGGAACTGCGTCGGGTCGATGATCGTGTTGCTTTTAATCACACGAAGCCAGATTAAATTAAACAACGACTTCTCCAACCTTATGCTTTTCTCCAGAGTGCCGTGGTTCATTGTTTATTAATGTGTTTCTGCGGCATTTACCGACCGCTGCAGTGCTGGCTGCTCTTCCACGGGAGTTTATTCTCCCGTTAGCTCCCGGTTAGCTCACACTGCAGCGGCCGCTCTAAAGTATTCACTGTCCGACTCACACAAGCAGCTGATACATAACATATCCCCAGTTCCATTTAGCCTAAGTGAATGTGTGTCAGTCTGAATTGACGCTGTTTGGCATCACAACGCTGTTGTGAAAGTTTCTCTGGTATAAAATGGGTGATGTTAGCTTAGCAATGAAGCTAAACTGCATACTTGCTGTTGCTATTGCTATCCTATTGTGGCATAAACCGTTTTCTACAGGCACATTTTACCGGCGTATTTTTCATTATGATTCTACTTGTGATAGTCGGACACGAAAACCTGTGCAGCCCATGTATTGATTCCATCCGATAGCTGCTATAATACAAAACAAAACGTCTGCCTCTCTCCACAATGATCAATAACAGTGAACGGATGGTCAAAGTAAGGTACAAATAAACAGAATCACACGAAGCCTGGTTAGTGTTGCCTGACTTTATAAAGTGTGTTTATAAGCACTACTGCTTGTAGGCAGGCATGACAGTCGACCCATGTTCAGGGGAGGTGGGTTTAGTTTCCTGCACGCCTCGACGTAAGAGAGACGTAAGCGACGCCACCTCTTAGCTCCGAAGCTCTTGCCTCGAGACCGACAATTTTTTGGAGCTGGAAGTGAACCGGATTCCGGAGCTAAGAGGCGGCGCCGCTGCGGTGTGAACAGGAAAAACCGGCACTTTTCAGGCTCCAGCTCCGAGCCGGAGCTGAAAACGCGTTGGTGTGAAAGGGGCAGTGTAGTACAACCACAAAAACACAATGGATGCAGTGCTGAGGTCAATATGGTATTATCCTGTTAAACTTGCATTAAATACCACAGTACTATTTTTGCAATACCATTTCTTGACTATTTTTAAATCTGGCTCAAAAGGCCTTATACAAATGTGAAGAGATTTTTCATGCATAACTTTGAGCAACAAATAAAACAGCAGTTATTGTTTTTTTAGAATCTAAAATGAGATAAAATGTAATCCTGCTGACATTAACATATACTCAGTTTTTAACCACTGAAATTAAAAATTAAAATAAAAGGCTATCTGCCATGTTTTTTTAAAATCTTGCCTGATTTATAGATTGGTTTTGATCCTTGACATACGGAAACCCATCAAGTTTTTCTTTTGTGTTTTAAGACTTGTTTCCTGTCAGGTGAAATAACAATGAACACATTAGTCACACAAACAACAAAGACAAGTCACCTTGAAATTACTATATATATTTTTTTATTTAAAATTGTGCTTGTCAAGACTGTTATCTTGGATGAAAGACAAAATATTTAATCCGTTTCACATTGAGTTCTTGTTGAGTTCAGTGATTATAAAATGTGCTGGGAGGGAAATCATTTGAAAAGGCATTTTTTCAAAGTATAAGAAAATGAGGGTTTCCTGTATGCATGATGAGTTAAAACTGAGAACCTGGGAAGAGGTGTATTCTGGCTTTTTGCCAACCCCCGTTAGTCATGTGACCCTCCCAGTTGTTTCTACCACACACACAACAAACACACATAAGTATATGTTGACACCATGCAAACAAATGTAGGACATCATTTTTGATTCAGCGTTTTATATCACAAAGGGGGAAACTAGTTTTATAAAAATATGGCAAAACTAGAGGAAGCAAATGGTAGGTCTAACTGTTATATCCTTAAAGAGTATCATTAAATAAATTCAAATGTTTCCATACGAGTTGTTGCCATACATACTCGTATAATGCTAAACTCTGTAGTTAGTTACTTATTTGTAAAGAGTAGTGTTAGTGTTATAGTGACTGCCTTCACTCATCAAAGTGAATGGTATCTCACTGATATCAGCCCCACTGTGTTCTGCTCTACAGCCGCACAATATCCAATCACTGATAGTGGAAACACACATTTTTTCCTACAAACATTTACACAAAGACATCAACTTATATTTTTTTAATTGTGAATTAGCCTCAGGAAATGTGTCATGAAATACAAATGATGTGTAAACCAGGCTTTCCTGTTCAGTGTTTTCTCAGACCTTGTGTTCAACATGCAGTTTATTTAAACATTTTCTTAACTCAAAATCACATATTTACAGATGTCTTTGATTCGTAAGCCATTTTACCAGTAATCAATATAAAACCTGGAATGTAAATATACAAGTTAACAGTTATTAACCAAACAATTTTTAACAAATGAGGATTTATTTTCATTTTTCTAGCAGTAAAACTATTACACACATTTGATTTACTATAATAGAGGCATGCAATAAGCCTTTCTCTTTAACAAAGCTTTATGACAAAATTCAATATAAAACATTTAATGTTATTATCAACTATAACTATAGCTTGACAAATTTGGTGTCATTAGAAACAACTTTTGCATTATCAAACGTTCATAGATATTCTCCATATGTTTTACGATAAAGTGTTGAAGAGATAATTATTGGATTGTTGAGTCCACTTATGTGTTGTATACAGAATCTAAACCATATGATAATCAGTCACCACAGTAAACTTATTTTGTAGAAAATGTGATAAATGATACAGTGTTGACTCTAAATATCGAAGTTTGTTCCCTTGAATAAAAACAAATCAACACATGAAATAAGATGAGTGATTAGTTGACAGGCGTGATGATCAGAGGTGCAGAGTTTTTACGGCCATATTGAAGTCCAGGACTGAAGAATGGGTAGAGTTTCTCAGTGAAGGAGCAGCGAGTAAAGGAGTAGATAAGAGCTGCAGCATCTACGTCATAAAAGGAGACCAGACCCTTCTTATAATCCACAAACACCCCCACCTTCTGAGGCCGAGACTTCAGAGAAAGACAGACTGACGGAGCATCAGAAGCTTTGTACTCATTTCCATTTATCAAATGTATAGTCCAGCAACCATTTTCTGGGCTCAGTGTGATCGCTCCCTTCCTGTTGATCGACCTTCTGGCCACTCCTAAATACCATTCAGTCTTTCCTTTAACTTGAACTTCAAAGTAAAATCTGCCTGAAGAGAAACTCTGATTTCCTAAAACACAATTCCAATCAGAAAATCTCTCCGGGTTGTCTGGGAGATTCTTTCTCACTTCACCATCACTGACTTGTTTTCCATTACGCGACAGGATGAGACGGGGATGTGCTGTATCATGATCAAGAGTCACATCCACTGCGTACCACTGGACCCTCCTCACATCAGCTTCAATGAGCTCCTTCATCTCTTGGCTGAGTGTCTCCTCCAGCTGAACCACAGCTCTCACCACAGTCCCTTCATATGATAATGGAGGGATGCTGACCTTTGTCCAGTCCTTGGTGAGTGATGGGTGTTGGATGTTTAGGGACTGGACACCCTGGAGAAAATGGAGGGGGTCTTCAGACCGTGAGAGATGCTCAACTTTTGCACTTCTCTTCTTCAGCTGAGAGATTTCCTGTTCCAGCTGTTTGATGAAGTCTTCAGCCTGTTTCATTCTCATGTTCTGCTTGTCTACTATTGTTTGGATTAACTCATTCAGGTTTCTCTCAACAGACTCCTTCAGAGCAGTGAAGACCTGAACTCCTTCTGCTATCTCTCTGTCTGCGTCTTTCTCACTGAGGTCCACTGAGTGTTTGATCTCCTCAATCTTCAGTTGTCTCTTCTGGATCATCTGCTGAGTTTCAGCCTCTGTCTTCCACAACCCGGCCTTCTTTCTTTCATATCCTTCTTTCAGAGGAACCACATCATGCATCTTGTGGTCTGAAACAGTGCAGAGCCTACAGACACATGTGTGGTCGGTCCTACAGAACAGCTCCAGAGGTTTATCGTGCTTAGAACACATCCTGTCTTCCAGGTTCTCCACAGGGTTGATCAGCTGATGCCTTTTCAGACCTGACATTTTCAGATGAGGCTCCAGGTGAGTCTCACAGTAGGAGGTCAGACACACCAGGCAGGACTTCAGGGCCTTCAGTTTGGTTTCAGTGCAGACGTCACAGGGAACTTCTCCTGGTTTGAAGACTTGTTGCCCTGAGCTGCTGCTGCTGGCTTCCTGTTGAGCCGACTGTCTGAACTGAGCGACCATCTCAGAGATGAAAGTGTTAACGTGCAGCTCAGGTCTTGTGTTGAACCCTTTTTTACACATGGGACACTGGCACCTGTCACTTGTATCCCAGTGTTCAGTGATGCAGTCTTTACAGAAGTTGTGTCCACATGGTAAAGTGACTGGATCAGTGAACAAGTCCAAACAGATGGAGCAGAGAAACTGATCTTCAGGTGCCAGGTAGCTTGCAGCAGCCATATCTACACACACAAGAAAGAAAAGAAAAAACATTTGAAACATCAATTCATATCATATATTGTTTTAAAGAAAGAAGTGTGATAACTTGTAGCAAGCCATGAGCAACCGTGACCATTTAACTCTGACAGGTTCAAGCATGCAACTCTGGCTAACAGCAATGAAAATACATATTTTGTCGATAATTTTTCTATTGAAAAATAACACTGCTCTTCTAACTGTGCGACCATAATTATTAATTTCCTCGAGCTGCTTCGCATTAAAAGACTCCAACTGTTTCTCTAATGGAAAGATTTTATTTTGAAACAGCTAGAGGAAATGGGTAAAATCATTATGTAGGAAGTGATGTAATAAAAGCAGGAGAGCAGAAGTGAATCAAAACTCCTACCACAGAGATTCAGTTACAAGTAGTGTTGTAGTCGAGACAACCTTATCCGAGACATTACCAAGACTGAAGAGTAGCAAGACCAAAACAAGACCAAGACTTGAAGAGGTCGAGACCAAGGCCAAGGCAGGGCGAGACCGAATCAAGAGCGGAACCAGACTGTGAATCCAACACTACATGATACACTTACACAGAGATGGGGTCATTACTAAAAAAATGTAATATATTACACTACCTCGTTACTCGCTACATAAAGTAACTTGTTACTTTACTCGTTACTTTACTCGCCGAGCACGTAGGAACTGCGCATGCGTGAGTGGCAATAACTCCTTACCAGCAGCAGTGGCGCCAGCAGGGGGGGGCAGGGGGGGCCATGGCCATCCTGATATATTTGTTGGCCCCCCCCACTGGCCCCCCCACCACACACACCGCCTCGCCAGTCACGTATGCGTAGTAGTTTATCTGATATTTAACAACAAATACACAGCCAGCGAGTCGCTTGATTTGAGCTTCCAACACTCATACTGCAGCCCCTCCCTCTCCCTCTGCTACCATGGTAACACTCTGATACTCGGCGCACCACTCTGATACTCGCGCGCACCACTCTGATACTCGCGCGCCCCACTCTGATACTCGTGCGCACCACTCTGAGATTCGCACAGACAGCAGCAGGTTGCAGCAAAACGTTTCTTTCTACTGACTTGACAAATCCACCAGACTTCTAGAAGGTAAGTCGTATACGTTTGTTGCCTGTTAAGCCCCACAACACTTAGGCTTTAGTGTGTTAGCTTTAGGTAGCAAAAAACGGAGATATGCTAACCTTTAGTTGTTATTCTGATCAAAATGTGTGTTCAATGGCATTAAAACGAGAAAAACGCTGGAGGACCTGGAAAACAGGCTCGGGGCTCAGTAAAGGCTGGCTTGACTTCAGGTATAATTCGTCTGTAAACACACTTTGGCAGCTATCCTAGTTAGCGTTAATTTAGCTTGCTAAGCTAACGTTAGCTGATGTCGGTATGCTGGGCTGGTGTAATGCGTAGGCTACTATTAATCACTGCTGTGTGTAATGTCAATTTGCAGAAAATGAAGAGAAAGTCAACAGACATCTCTTCTTATTTTAAGAAGAAGATGAGTAAAGGAGAGACAGAGCTGGCAGGGGAGCAGCATATAGGGCTAGTGAGGAGATGGCCATACATGCTAGAAAGTACATGTGGAACTCTGTTTTGTAAAAGTGAAACTAAAACCTAAATACAGTTTTATTAATGTGATTGTGACCTTTTTAATCATTTAAGTCTTCTACACACTTTAGGTCTGCAGCTCCTTCAAAATGAAACGAGAATCTATGCAGTTTTTCCTCTTATGTGTTCTGAGGTTATGAGCCAACCATTAGTCAAGTTTGTTTTCATAATATTCTGTATGCTATTTAAAAAAAGGGTAACCAGTTTGTTTATAAAGTATAAATATACATTTTCAAAACAAATGGAATACAAGCTATATGTATTACTCTCACCACAGTGGACTAATCTTGAAATATGTCTCGTCACCTATTTTCTGTCTAATACTAAAAGGTGGTGTTTTGTATCATTTATAATGTTTTTCATTTGCTATAAAAGGTCAATAATAGATGGTGTTTTTGTGTTCAATCACAGTATCATCAGTTCAATCAGTACCATTTTATGTTTTTTTTTGGGTCCTGTTGAAATAAAATAGTCATGTTTTAAAACTTGATTTAATAAAGTCATGTCAATCATCTTTGATCCCAGTGTGACACAAACAGCTTTGTTCAGTCTAAAACAATTTATAACCTAGAGACATAATATAACTGAAGAACATGTTGTGTTGCTGTTGTGTATTGTATGTGTTGAGAATGCTGAACATGTTGTGCCTTACAATAAAGGAACTTATTTAAATTAAGCTGTATTTGTCTTTTTAAAAAGGAAAGAACAACTAGCATATAAAAAACAAAACAATAAATCACCAACACATGTATACATAACACAAAACAAGGTTCTTTTAAATGTCGTTTGAAGTCAAATGTTAACTATCCGTATTATATTCACTTCAGATGAATAGTATAAGAAACCAAAGTATATCAGTAGGTGATTCTCTTTGCCATTGTTTTAATCTAGTCTATACCTTTACAACAATTACATTCTTGGTTTTGGTGGGCCACCCCAAGATTTTCAGTGGCCCCATTTGGCCACCCCTATGAAAGATTTCTGGAGGCGCCACTGACCAGCAGGCGGCGGTAGTGTGTATTCGTCATTCAAAACGGGCAACAACCGGAAAACAGAGAAGAAGAACAGACTACGTGATATAAACAAACAACAAATAGCGTGTGCGTTAGCTTCACCTTAGCATGTTTGCAGGTGTTTGTTGAGGTTTGACGTGGTGTTTACAGCAGTGGATAACAGCTTCTGGCCTGGACACAGTTTGCACCTCACCGTCACATTCCTGTCTATTCTTCGGACAAACTCAAAGTAATGGGCATACCTCCATACCTCTTGTCTGTCAGTGTGATTATGACTGATTTTAGTAAGTAACGAAGTAACGCGTGTCGGGGCAATGTTAGTAACTGTAGTGTGATTACTGAATTATAAAAGTAGCGCGTTACACTACTCAGTTACCGACAAAAGTAATATTATTACAGTAACGCGTTACACTCAACTCTGCACTTACAATACCATGCAGTGTTTCCCCTATATACAAATAGCGGCGGCGCAGCGCAGCTGCTAGGGGGCGCCAGCCAGGTACCCAAAACAAATTTGATTGTTTGTTATTTGGATTTGTAGTATTTGTGTTACTGTATGTTAATTAAAAAGGTGTATTTTTGCTAGGGCAGTGGTTCCCAACCTGGGGGGGGGGGGGGGGGGGGGCACCAGGCCTCAGATGATTTGAGGCCAAATATCATATTTAGACTTTTTTTACATATAGTTGTAAAGCAATACATGATTGTCACTAAAAGCCTTGTCCCTACATTACAATAAAACATAACAAATAATTGATTAATTTGAATACAAATTCAAGTTAGTAGCTATTATAGGCATAAAAAGACAGAAATGTATAATTCTTTCTTTAATAGAAATGTTTCTTCTGCCCGTAAAGTGTCCAAACCAGGCATTTCTGGATAAGCGCATTTTTAAAAACATAGTCATTGTCCATGCCGGTTTCAGTTGGATTGTCACAGTTGCTCCAATCAGATCGGTTTCCTCCATTTTGTAGATTATTTACAAGTTTTGAATCCACATAAACACATCGGCAAAATCCGGCTTACTTTGAGCATGTGTTTTAAACAGTTTAATCCCTTTGTGAATTGTTTCCACTTGCGCCGTCCTTTAATTTCTTCATACAGCGGGAATCCAAATGAATTAATCCTGAGTCGAATAACCATCAAAGTCACTCCAATAGTGCTCCTTAATTACGCTTTCATCCTCTAACAAAATACTTCACATTCATCCAGTTTGTGACAGTAGTTGTAGCATTTTTGAGACTTTTAAACTTTAATTGCCGCTGTTACGCAACTTACAACAGGAGTCATTTGGGGGGGCTCTTGGGAAAAAAGGTTGGGAACCCCTGGCCTAGGGCGCCAGATCTGGGGGGCGCTGCGCTGGTAGCTCTGGGAGGGGAAAAAACATTTTTGACTGTTGGCGCTCATCCTCATTTTTGGCCTCGATGTAACAACATTCATAAATAAGTAAATGTAACACCCTTTTCACCCCGGTTATACTTTTCATTTGCCCTGTACGATGGGCGCTGTAAGTGATGAAAGTGGGGGATGTTGGCTTAACTATGGGATTAGTTTTGTTTCATAAAGATAAAGCAACACTTTCTCAGAATCAAGCAAAACTAAGAGTTTAAGACAAAAAAAAGCAGAATACATTTAATTTAAAAAATAAAACTATAAGTTGCAAACAAATCATTTGTGTAATCATGTAAACTATAAGTATTTTTCTTTGTTTTAACATATCTTTTTGTTTGCAGTTCTCTTTGCTTCTTTCTCAATGATCAGACTTTTGCTCTCGCTGCAGCTCTTCTCGTTTGCGCTCCCTCATTTTTTGTTTTCGATTTTAACACAAACATCCCAGGTGGGCGGGACTTTCAGGGGTGCGTCCCCATTGGCTACTCAGTTTTTGAGTGACAGCCACACCACAGATCATACAGTGCAACTCATGCAGCAAACTCCGGAGTCCACTCGGCCACGTTAGTGTCGGTGTCTCCTGGGGAGTTTCATGAACATATCGGACGTATCTTATGGATTGCTGTGCATTATACTTGTGTTGTGTAGTTTATACTTTATTCCAACTTTAAATATTTTAATACCTGAACACACTGATGCTGTACAATAATTTCCCTATTTGGGATTGATAAAGTGTCTGTCTATTTATTTATTTTATAGATAAAAAAAAACACATCTATGTATTTTCAAGCTAAAGGTGATACACAATATAAACTGTATACTGTTATTTTTTCAAAGACATGTTACATTTCAAAAGCATACATTGCTATGTTTAGGACAAACAGTTAAAGCCTGCTTTAATTTAACAAATTCTACAATATAAAAGTGGCAGATTTGCTTTATTAAAACAGACCAGACCTAGGTTGCATACCAACACAATTAGGAACATGCTCACATCTTACTATGTTGGTCTGAAGAGCTAAATTTTCATGTAGAATAAAGACAAAAGAGTTAAAACAAAAATATATGTTAAAACAAAGAAAAAATACTTATAGTTTACATGATTACACAAATGATTTGTTTGCAACTTAGTTTTATTTTGGAAATAAAATGTATTCTGCTCGACTCAGTTTTTTTTCTCTTAAACTCTTAGTTTTGCTTGATTCTGAGAAATCGTTGCTTTATCTTTATGAAACAAAACTAATCCCATACTTATCAGGCGCCCGCAGCTCACAGCCAAAGTGCGAGCGTGGGAGCGAGGGAGTTTACAAATTATGTAAACACATATTTCCAAGACACTCCTTTATAATTATTAGGATAAATAAAAACAGGTTTGAAATCATTCCAATGTATACTATAGGACAGTAAACCAAAAATATAGTTTAAAGTTGGAGATATACAAAAATATGCATAACTAAATAAATGTTAAGGTAAAATAAGATATAAATGAACAACAAAAATAAAAGAAGTTACATTTATTTGTTATTGGCTGTGGTAGGATATTGGTTATGTTCACATACTTATTTGATTATTAAAATGTAAACCGATCTTTTTCATATGGGTGTTTAGAGTTGTACAGTACCCCCTAGATCAGGTCTCTAGTAATTGTGTGCTCAAAGTGCACCAGATTGAAGCATTTTACTTTAAAATGTTAAAAAAAAATCTTCCCGGGGGGGCATACCACCGGACCCCCCTAGAGGATGTGACTTGCACCCCCCAATTAAAACATGTTCATACATAACTGAATACATTTGAAGCCATTTTGACGTATATTACCTATGTCAATAAGTTTCTGTTTTTGTAATGTATTTGTCCTTTGTAGAGATTTTTCATTTATTCTTTATATATAAAATCTCGCCTAGGGCAGCAAATTGTCTAGAACCGGCCCTGGTACTAGGCCTCAAGAGCCTTTCTTGTGCTGCCAGACACAGAAACAAATTGGCGGGGCGCACTTCGCACGCATTAAAAATGTTCCTGCGCTCCGCGCTCACATTGTGCTGGGCCCACGTGCCTTAGCACCGCTGCCAGGCCCGGTTCTACGGGGGTGCATTGCACCCTCATTTGAAAGAAAAAAAAAGTGGGAAAAAAAGAAAGAAAAGAAAAGTGAAAAATATTACATATATAATAACAATATTAATAATAGTAGTAATAATAATAATAAGAATATAGTTAATAATAATAAATTGTAATTGTGGTTAAATAACATTGTCTGCTGCATTTATTTGGTCAATTTAAACGGTAAGTAACGTTATTATGTCAGGTGCGCGTGACCTGTGCTGCTGCGCGTTCGTCATCTGCAAGGTGCTTACACAGCAGTCAATGATGGACATCATAAAATGGTTAAAACAACAAGCCCTTATCGCCAGCAGTAACACTGCATCTACTGCAGGTAATAACAGTTCAGATTAGGGCTGAACGATATACCGTGTCATGGCGATAACCGCGATATGCGCGATTTTCACACCGCAGGGACGTGCGGTTTTATTCATTTTTTTTTTTTAAATGCTAATGCACTTTAGCACAGAATTCAAAATAAAGATACCCTTATTACTTATCGAAACTGCACATACAATATATCTGATTAAAGCTGAGACTCCACAGATTATTTAAGTATAGTATCTCAGCGATCCGATCTCGCGACAGGGGAAGCAAACACAGACATCACAACACGTACCTTTTACGGGAGATTGTCTCACCGTAGCTGTCAATCTGATCAAAAGACGTGTTCAATGGCATTCAAACGAGAAAAAACGCGGCTGAATCGGTTAATCCATAGGTTGATAATGTATCTGTGGCTTTGAAGCAATTGTTTATAATCCATAATTCCATTTTTATGTAAAAATCGGAGCACAAAAGTTAGCTAGTAATGGTAGTCACCAGTGTATGCAGCTTCCGGTTTTGGCTACGCGTCACTCACTCCTTATTTGGTAATGTGTGTGTGTTAGACTGCCACATCGCCAAGACCGGAAGCAGCAGCCACTCTTGTGGCTACCATTAGCAGCTAACTTTTGCTCTGCGATTTTTACATAAAAATGAAATTATGGATTATAAATGACATAATTTTTGTATACAGAGACGTTAAAAACCTATGGATTAACCGATTCAGTCGCGTTTTTTCTCGTTTTAATGCCATTGAACAAGTCTTTTGATCAGATTGACAGCTACGGTGAGACGATCTCCCCTAGAAGCTCCGTAAAGGTATGTGTTGTGATGTCTGTGTTTGCTTCCCCTGTCACGAGTTCGGATGACTCAGTGATGATACTATATACCTAAATAATCTGTGGAACCTCATCTTTAATCGGATATCTTGTATGTGCAGCTACGATAAGTAATAAGGGTACTTTTATCTTGAGTTCTGTACCAAAGTCCGTTAGCATTTTTTGCTCAGGGGTCATTTAGATGCTTCTTATGAGACTTGTGTTTTGTTTTGGTAAAAATGGTTTGTATCGTCAGTTAGCTGAGATTATTTCCGTTAATCTGGTATAACACATTAATAGGTTCTTAAATATTAAGATCCCCTGAGACACAGTGTCGTGAAAAAAAAAGTAAAGTACCCGCCGGGACCTTGGGGCTTAACAGGTTAAAAAAAACGCAATATATATCGCAGGGGAACAAAAAACCGCAATGTAACATTTTTTCAATATCGTGCAGCCCTAGTTCAGATCATTGGGACATTACGTTACCCGCGGCCACTGTCGTGGACACTAACATCCTCCCGCCCGACTCGCCGGCTTTGCCCGCCTCGCCCACGGAGGCAAAGCAGCCGCAGCCGTCTTCGTTGCCCCAAACACCACCACCCCACGGCGGCCCGCAAGTGCCAGAGGACCTCGGCAAAACAGAGCCTGCCCAGGTATATTTAAAAAAGTACCCAACTCGCCTGTACAGTGGGGTAAGGCGCTCATTTTGCAGCTCATGGTTTCAAAACAGAGATTGGCTGGAATATTCATGTAAAAAAGATGCCATCTTCTGCTATGCATGTAGACATTTCGGTCTTAAAAAGGGGAGTGATTTATAAAATATCCATAAAGAAAAAGTAAATCTGTTTATAGTTCGGTTTCGTTTGGGTGTTGAGATGTATCCATAGATCTCTTCATGTTGCTCTCAAAGTGCATCAGATTGATGCTTTTAACTTCAATATTTAAGCATGCCCCCAGACCCCCCTAGAGGAGGTGAGGACCCCCCTAGAGCAGTGGTTCTCAACTGGTGGGTCGCGGATGTGTGAGTGAAGAAAAAAAAAATTGGAATTTTTTTTTGGGGGGGAAAAGTCAAACTTTTATTTTGAAGGCCCGATTTTCTAACGCTGTGCATGCAGTCGGCGTTGGACTGGTAGTACCGGAGACCATAAACGGTTTTGAAAACTTATGTCACATAGTGATCATCTTCTCAATAAAATATATTTGCTGATGTTTTTTCGAGTCTTCTGGCCAATCAGAATCAAGATTGTTGCCGGAAGTCCCCACGGAGAATAACTTTGCGGTAGAACTCTTCTTTATACATCCATGGTTACAACTTCAGATAGAAATGAACACATAATGAAATATGACTCCCGGTCTGATGACTGACAGGTCACAGAACAATGGGAGCTATCTACCCTTACCCACAATTTAAAGTAAGTCACACAGACTATCTCCTCTTTACTCTTCTAGATGTCAGAACAAAGTGAAAAACAAACAATGGCATAAAATATTATTAATATGTCGGGTAGTAATAGATTTATTTATTTTCTCCTCAGAGTGTACCAGAATGCATAGTTTATGTTAGTATTTCTAAAAATCTCCTGGGGGAAAAT